CCAATAGACCGGTGAGTGTTACATAGTGATTATTTTCAGGAAGTAATCAAAGGAGTCCAATGAAGGGTTGGTAGGGAGAGTGAGAGGGAGAGAAACTCCCTCTGGAGGGAACTTTTGGATTCTTACCCAAAGCAAACCATTTACATGCACACAAACCTGTATACTGTAACGCACTATACAAAAAGGAAAAGCACAAAAAGCATTAGGGCCTCTTTAAAAAATATATAATTGGATTTGGTAAAAACATGCATCATAACTATTCTATTTATTTTACAAGATTATAAACAACAATTTCTACTCACTCTCTGACACAAAAGTATATAATATAAACAAAAAAGACCAATGGATTTAAACATGTGTCATAAGAAAAAGCTAAATTAAGTAGATAAGAAGTCCTGCCTGTTTAAGTGGAACATAAAAAGCTATTTAACGCCTGATTTGACAAACTAAAATGTATTTAAATCAAGGGAGCCATCCACCTCTGTGATACCCCTACAACCACATCCATTGCCCCCCCCCCCCAGACAGATCAGTGCTCCAGCATCCGTCTCCCTTTCCCCTTGACTGTCGACAACGGATGCTTTTCAGACACATTTCCCTTTCTTTTTCTCACTTGTAATCAATGCCGATGACTACACAGGGAGCATTATGTTTCACTCACAAGTAACTGCAACCCAGCAAGTGCGGATTGCATGCTTTGAATCCCTCTTTATTTCACAGACAATGGGAGTAAAATACGCAACTATACATCTTAGGTGACAGCCAGTGACATTAATACCTGGATTTCCATTGTTTGTGGCGGTGTCAAAGAATGAAATATACAACAAACGGGAGGATGCTGCCTAGATCGAAGTGACTTTGAACTTGAGTCACTTTAGAGACAGACGGGGTAAAAATCTTCTATGGTCCCTGAAATGATTTTGAAATTATAATAAATTGATTGTGCAAAACTTATTTTCACAGCCTAGCATGACATCATATTTAATTATAGGTTATAGGTTTTTTCTTTGCTATTTAGGTGTAGAACTTAACAACAACACATACATTTGATATGGGATGGATAGTGTATGTCCCTGACAAGTTACTGTAGCACATTATCAATTGCTAGCTAATTTTGTTCAATGTCTGCTTGATATGTTTTGTCCTTTTGCTGGTAATCTGTCAATATTTACACTCCTTCCAACTTTGTTTTAGTGCATGCTCATACATGTGATCCATTGTTAATAAAACGGCATTAAGTGCGTTAATGAAAACTTAACACATACTTGATTAAGCTAACCTTCAGTGTGTTAATGATTGAAGAAAAATGTATATCTATACAGCCCATTTTCAGTTTTTTTTTTTAAATGTAATTTTGTCATGTCCTGTAGATACCATAGTGTAGTCACTGTTTCATTTGAATGGGGAACTTCATCAGTGACTTTCAAAGTGCTGAAAATGTAATCACTACAAACCAAATGACTCTCCTTTTTGACCACTGTTCATGCAGATTTAGTGCAGAAGTAGGTCTGTACCATGGTGTCATTTGTTAATGTCCTTGACTATGCATATTGAGCAAACAATTTATGCTAATAAGCTCCACTTTTGCCAATGTTAGTTAACATGAGCAACCCAGCTTTTTTCTATTCGGCCTCAGAATTCCTAAAATGTTTGAAAAGCGATTTTCTTTTTTATGTAAATGAGTGATTAAAATCCTTTTTCATTTGTGCCTATCTGCTCATAACGGCACATCAGTTTCCACTAACATGTGTTATAATACTGTTGTTTTGCTCACACCATTGCTTAAATGAAATTGGCAAATAATTTGTTTCCCATAATCCTTGTACCTCTCAAATCACATAAAAAGGGTTGACAATTTGAGTAGAGGCAGGAAGTCATAAACACTTATTCATTTATGTTTCTTACTTTAAATGACAGCTCGATTTTCGGACTGAGAGGCACTCACTATTTCTTTTAAACCCTTCTCCAGTGGCAAATTGCTGCTGTCTTCTCTCGCTTTGTGCTGTCACCGTGACATTTTCATAACTCTTTTTGACATTTTCCAAATTGCACAACCTATCTGATTCAGAGTTCCCAGCTGGGTAGCATCAGATACAGCATGGCGAGGTAGTAAATTGCACATACTGTACATGTAACATTACGGGTCTCTGCTGTCACCTTTTCTAAAATATCACTTTGAGTAACCTTAAAAATGCAAATAATGGGGCTAGATAACAAGAAAAAATTGAATAAAACTGCCAAGAAAACTGTTCTCTTTTTCTTTATTTCAAAGGAGAGATATGATCTTATATTCAAACTGACAATTGCTGTCTTTCCCCTGCGTTTCCACAGGCTGTGTGCTTTAAACTTGCCTTGACTTTGATCCATATCCTGCTTCTTGGCAACATTCTCTGACACTGTTCTCGCCTTTCTCGCTCCCTCTTTGACTCTCTCCCCTCTCGTTGTCTCATTTCCTCTCCGGTTTCTGTATGATTCTGTCTGTGTCCCCGCTGCTAACCTGTCCTCAGGGCAGGCTCGACGCCCTTCATCTGTCCATCTTGTTCCTACGCCAGATCCTCAACACCCGCAGGTGCTAGTGTGTATGCTGCAGCATCACTCCTCTCCGGAAACAGGTTCATAAGTCATTTAAATCAGAGTTAAAATGAGCAAAATGAATGTGGTCATGTGACCTGGCCCAGTCGTCTGGTATCAGTGTTTCCTGCGTATGAGCTGATAGTCAAAGTCACAAGAGACTTTTCCCATATTTTCACAGGCTGCGAGTAGATCTGTTTTCCCTCTGAGTTTTTTCTTAGTTCAGAAAGACAATGGTCTAACGTCAAGGTTTTTTTAACTTATTTGTGAAAGACATCAAAGCTTAACAGTAAAATTACCACTTGAATCATCAGTCATATATTAAAGTATGTATTTATATGTTACAATCCAGACTCAAATATGTATGTTCATTTAATTCATTTCTTGTTTTACCAGTTACTTATATAATTGTAATTGTATCTTTAATTTTAATTATCCTTGTGTGAATCTGTACTGTACTGCTTTTCGCTCTCACTCTGTTGCTGCTTTAAACCCCAAGGGGATTAATAAAGGTCTGTATTATCTTAATTGATCTTCTCTTAAAGGTCCCATGTCATGGCCATTTCTACTGATCATAATTCCATTGTTGAGGTCTAACTAGAATAGATTTAAATTGTTCAATGTTCCAAAATCACAATGGTTTATATCATACAGCATCTCTGTATTTCCCAGGCATGGTATTTCTGTTGGCAGAAGGAGGAATGGAGAGAAATATGTGGAAATAATACCATAAATAAAATGTTACCTCTCATTTATCATATATGAAGAATTAATTTTCACAAATTGATTAAAGCCAATCTTAAAATGATTTAACAAATGCCTGTTTGAGACTCCTCAGTGCACACAAAAACATAACTTGGAGAAATAAATAAATACGGAAATGTTATTGATCACCCCTCAATTATGTTCTCTTGTTAAGAAATGTATTCTCATAAATGATGCGGTAAACAGAAGGACAGAATTACTTTAAACTGACGCCGTTTTGCATTTCTATAGGTTGTAGATACGAGCATGGTTTTATATACTATCACGTTTAATCGTGTTTTATGCCGTTCGCCAAGACTTGATAAGTCGCTCGTAAAACACAGGAGGCATGGAAACTAAGAACACCATATGTGGTCAATTGTACAGCTAATATAACACAACAGTTGTATTTCCTTTAACTGGTGGATTATGGATATATAGTTGCTGATCGACAGCTGGAACACAAACCACCAAATACAACAAAATAATTCAGATCCAGTCGTCATGACTCCACTCCGGAGGGATTCCCCGATCATTTCTGACAGTTTCTCATCAAGGGGGTGTCTCCTGTCCCCGGTACAAACACACTGCCTGAGGAAGGTTATGTGTATTTTTTTTGTCAATAACCTTTTTCGGACCACTTATTTATTTATTTTGGTGACGATCCGACCTCCATGCTGCTACTCTGGTTCAAACTGCATCCACCAAACAATATGATTTATCTCGACCTCCCCAAAATACCCAAAATAACCAAAATCTGACACGGTGTGAGATGTCTTTTTTAGCTGTTCTGTCGTCATTTCCTGCAATCTTCTTCATGCAGTCAGTCAAAATGAATGAATTAATGGGCGTTTCTTTGACTATTTATAGGCTAATATGGGCGTTATGTGAAGCCCGCAAAAGCTGCGCCGCATTTAGAGTTGATTGTGATTTATAAAGGAAAACGGGCGTAGGATGTGCCGTACACAAGTCCTGCGCCGGTACGCAAGTCCTGCGCCGGTACGCAGTCTTTTATGAATCGGAAAATGTCTGTGCGTATTTATTTGCTTTGTCCTACGTAAGCAACCTTCCCACGCCAATCCTACGCAAGGCTTTATAAATGAGGCCCCAGGTCTTTTACATGGATTAAACAGTTAAGTTTACACCTGTTTCCAACTCTTGTGCTAAGCTAAGCTAATCAGCTGCTGGCTTTAGCTACACACAGTATTTGTCCCACAGACTTGAGCACGGTGTTGACCTTCCTATCTAACCTTTGGCAACAAAGTAAAGACATTAAATGAACAATGTTTCAAACTGCTCCATTGACCTCAGTACTTTCAATAGGGATATGCTTTATAACGGCCGACCCTTGCCTGTATCCCACATGGAAATGCAATTATTAAGAATCAGTCTGGATCAGTGTTCTGAACTTCACTGTACTTTGTTTCAAGGTGAAACAACCCTTCAGTAGCTGCTGTCATTTAAAAACACTGAAGGTTTTATTCACTAAACTGCATCTCTAACCTTTTTTTTCTCTTAAATGTGCCGTTGGCATTACAGCTTTGACTTTGATCCATATTCGACTTGGCAAGATTCTCTGGATCTGTTCTCCCCTTTGACTCTCTTTTCTTTCTCTGCTCTTTTCCCCTCTCTTTTCTCCCCTTTTGTTTCTGTCTCTGCTCCAAATGTCACCCTGCTCCCCTCAGGGCGGGATGATCGCCCTTCTGCTGTCCATCCTGTGCCTCGTCCTGATCCTCTACACCCGCCGGCGCTGGTGCAAGCGCCGCCGCATCCCCCAGCCCCAGAAGAGTGCCAGTGCTGAGGCGGCTAATGAGATCCACTACATCCCCTCGGTGCTGATGGGGGGCCAGGCCCGCGAGAGCCTGAGGAACTCCCGGGGTCAGGGGCCCAACTCCAGCGGTACCCTCAGCATCCGGGAGACTCCGATTTTGGATGGGTACAAGTAGGGATCGGTGGAAGGGGGGGGACATATTCCGAAACGGTTACACTCTAAAAATAAGCATCTGCAGTAGCTGTAAATAGACAGAGTGTGTTGTGGATAGGTTTTTCATTCCACATATTACACTGGCAAAAAGAGTTTGGAACTGTTTTAAATTCACTACTTAAGGCTAGCTGATATAATTGAACCAGCACACTTTTAATTGCAGTAGTATGCATTGAGTTTAGATTATTCATATTATAAAACAACCTATTATAAGTACATCCTGTCACACTTTGAAATCTTTATGGCTTCACCAAGCTGTTAGGCGCTTGTGATGCCTTAGTTAGTTGAGTCGAAATAATTTAGCTTAAGTTGTGAAATACCAATTATGTGCAATACATATGCATATATATATATATGCCGTTAATAGCTGTGCAATATATACCTGGCTGCTATATCTTCAAAACTGTTACAGGATGTGTATTTTGTAAAGTGTGTCATTTTTTTTGTATCTTTAATATCTTTTGATGCATGCTTCTTAGTTAATATGAAGCTGTCTTTGGCTCTTGTTTTGCTATAACATGCAAACTTCCCCTCTGTTGGACGCATAGAGGTATTCTGATTCCGATTGTGATCCCTTCCTCCTCACCAGGTACGAGTATGACATTACCGACCTGCGTCACCATCTGCAGCGGGAGTGTATGAATGGCGGCGAGGAGTTTGCCAGCCAAGTCACCCGTACCCTGGACTCCCTCCAAGGCTGTAATGACAAGAATAATATGGACCTCACACCTGGTAGGTTAACTGAAGCCATAACAGACAGGTTAAAAAACAACAAACTCATTTAAAGCACCACTTATCAACACCTTTCATATTAACAATACATCAAGTAGGCTAGATGTTCTGTGGAAGGGGTCGCTTGTAGTGACAAACTCACAGAAGCAGCTGTTTTTTAATTAAAACAAAACTCACTCTAATCAACCCACTTACAAATGGTCTGCAAAGGCTACATTCCAAAAGTTCCCACACACTCCCCCCCTGCCTGTCAGCCTCAATTGGAATAATACGTTTACTTTAACATAATGACATCACTATGTAGCACTCACCCTTCTATTGGCTATTGCTCCAACACATTATATGTGACAGGCTAAGGGGCGGGACATCTCTAAGCAGTTGAACAATCACAACAGAGCCGGCCAGCTAACCAATCAGATTAGACTGGGCTCTGGTTTCAGACAGAGGGTGAAAAGAGGTGCTGCAGCACAGGTAGTGTACAAAATACATATATGAAACTGAAAATTAGCATAACATGTCCACTTTAACTTTTAGGTGGTTAAAGCATGTTAGATATATATATTTCAGTTGGATTTGTATCATTTTCAACAAGAGAAGTTCAAGGAGTATAAGCTTAATCAATTTTTTCTACCAATACATAACATACCCCTGCATTCTGTTTTTCTTTTATATAAACAATATTTGATATTCAAAACATTTTTTTATAGTGACGAGTGTCTCATAATATCAATATATTATTTTAAAAGTAGATTAAGAGGATATGGCAATCGTGTACTGTCTACGCACAACTTGTGAGCACTCCAATTTCCTTACTGAACATGCAGAGGTTTTATTATTGAGAAATGCAGACAAAACTATTGCTGAATAATGTTTTGTCAGCATAACATTTAAAGTTGTTTAATTCATGTACGAGGTTGGGATACAAGGTGCTTTTTCTTTTGCCAATAAATCTGTATATTCATATTTGTAATACTTCCGCGTTTATGCTGGGAAAGCTTTCACTTGTCTTATTGATGGCGTTATTATTTTCTCTTTTTTTTTTTTTTATAAAATGTAATAAAACTAATGACAGTTTGACAAAATGTTCTAGTACTAAAGGTGACATACTGTATGATTATGTCAATGGTAGTCCAAGCATCTACCAATATAATTACATTCACACAGTTGCAACATGCAGATAATACGTGTGAAACAAAAAAGTAATTGGAAGTTTAATTAAATACCATAATAGGTTATTTTCTCACATAGGTGGGACATAATCTAAATGAATGCATGCAAATTGATATAGTGGCATTTGACTTTCACAAACATAAAGTCTTCAAACGACAAGGTAAAGCGCTTTGTTATTTCTAAAAGTGTCAGCAGATGGAAATGAAGCACTTGTTTAGCAGTTTCTATAATCCGTTTTGGAACATTAGTAGTGTGACCGATACACCAGATGTAAATATCAAACTGCAGGCATTCTTTCAAAAGAGTTTATTTATCCCACTTGAAATAATCAAAGGGCTTACGTGCGTGCCAATAAATAATTTTAGTAGATCTATTTTTCATAATTAGTGGACGTTGGATTTGAGCACCATTACCATGAGAATTACTAGATGAAGGAAAGCAGGTTTGATGAAGGTAAACCCTCTGAATTTCAATTAGCAGCACGCTCAAATTCATCAACACATCTGTTATGGTGATGGCGCTCCCACATGGTGTTCTTATACAATCTGAACAGCTCGACCCCAGAGGTGATGGAGGAATCCTGTGCATTATGCATTTAGGATGGTTAAGGTGTTGAACCAGAGAATATGAAAACGCAGACTGCAGGCAATGCATAGAATATTGAAGAAAATAAACAACTGCAGAGTTTGGACAAAGATTTCTGTAAATACTTTTTGGCTGCCATGACCTTTTGTCTTATAAATATTGATATAGTCTCATCACTCATTTGTCAGGCCTGTTGGCACCCTTTAAAATATATATTCCTTAAACATAGTATAGGATACATTTCTAACTTATATGTATAACCTTTTGTCCAAAATGTATTTATGTTAAGGAAAATTCTTCAACACGTATTAAATCAATATAGTTTAAGTTTATAATGTTTTGGTTTTATAAGGTTGGGTTATTTGGATTTGTATTCTTAAAACCTCTGGTCATCCAGTTCATAAAGAAACATAAGTTTTGAAAATATTTGAGTCCACCAAAGTATAATATAATATATAAAAATGTTTTTATTGTTTCCCATGACTACCTTCTTCACATTTGACAAAATAGATGATTTGACCCTCTAAGACTTAAATATATGTGTATATTCCCTTAATGACTATTCTTTTCATGCAACCTTTTGTCATTCTTAGTTTTAGCTGTTTAACTTTTCCCCCAGTAAACAACATGCTTAATATATATCTTTACTATCATCAGTTCTCGCTACACTGTGGTTTTAAATCCTTGAACATCCAGCCAGAACATGTTATTTCCATGTGCCAACTATCTCATTTCAGCGAGAAAGCTTTTAGTTTGTGGCTCTCCCTTGTTTGTAATAATATCCCACTTCTCTACAGTGAGCGACAACACCAAGCTGGCCCTAATGAACAAATACAAGGACAACATCATCGCCACGAGTCCCATCGACAGCAATCACCAGCAGAACACGCTGCTCCCACACAACACCTCCACCAGCCAACGCAAGCGGCTCTCCAGCAATACCCGAGGTGAGTCACTCTCTCCAATAGATCTACCCCTTTCACAGAGAATAGGACACAAAACATCTCCATTTCTCCATGAGTCTTCCTGGAACCAGCAGCACAGAAGGCGTTGTATTTTTATATCCAGTGTAGATGTTGTGGCTGTCTGCTGAAAGCTTGTGCACTTGATTTAGTTTTACCTCTATTTCTATTATTTAGTGATCAGTTTTCATTATGAAAAACATGCAAACTCCATTTCAACAACAATACAACATTTGATTTTAGAGTTTTGAAGGGTTAGAGCCTTGGATTTCTGAGCTACTGTAGACAAAATGGCTGTGCAAAACACGGGACCTGCTCTCTTTGTAGATATGAAGGACTGATTCTAAACTAACTGAAACACGCCTTTTAATTTCAGGTCATTATATAGCTAATGAAAACATCGTTATGAAATATTCTGATAATAGATCCCCTAAAATACTACACATCGGCCGTTTAACACTGTAGCTAATGTGCTAATGACAATAAAGCCTTGAAACTTGAGTTATGTTGAAGGTCACCTATTATGCAACATCCACTTTTTCATGTTTTTTATACATATTAAGCCAAACTGAAATCTGACTTCTAACATTTTGTGTGAGAAAACTAAATATTTTTTTGAAAGAGAATAAAACTGTTTCTGATCTGAGAGAGTACAAGCTAGTTAGCCTGCTTGCTAACACAGGACACCACTGATTTAGTAGATAATATCTTATAGATTTCATTTTAATTCATTAGCAGATAGATGTTCTTTCATTGGTCGGATTTACTTATTGCAACGTTTGACCATGTTCTCAAACCTATAGCAACTGGTAATACTGTATACCTTAGTACATTATTTAAATTATGGGACATATTTATATTCAGTTTCACAGTGTACAGACAAGAGTACTGAATTCACAGAGGAGCTTTGGTTACAAGGTTAGACCAATAATTCAAAACCGACCATTAGTATGTTTTGAATTGAAAATATATAAAGAATATATTTTAGTGCATAGCAACACGGAAGGAGAAAAGGAGGATACCCTCATGTTTAATTCATTGTTATAGGTTTTTTATAGGACTAGAATCACTGGAAATCTACTGAAAAACATGGCACGCTCAAAAAGGATTTTTTTGCCAGTGTGAAAATATTTCAACAAAAATGAGGCATGAAGTGAAGGTATTAGGTGTTCAACCTCAGCAGCGTTGTGATCGATGCCCAACTGCACATATCTTTTATCTACAAATGTTTATCTGTCACAGATCCATAGCAGGAGAGAAATCACGGTGAGTCACTGAATGCCACCATGCAGGTTTAATCATTGACAGCATCATGAATGCCCTTTGGAAAACTCCCAAGGACCCAGAGACATTTTCAACTTATTGTACAAAGTTATTTATTAAACAGATAAACAATAAAAGTATTTCACGATACATCTTTGCAGGACACCAAGGATAAACCTAGTGTTATAATCAGGGGTGCACATAACTTTCTTAGTGAGTTACTCAAATGAGTACCAGGAGACAATGTTTGGTACTCAGGGCTGCCCACGCAAGGTTATGTGTTCAGCCCCTCTGTTTCGCGAACGTCGACAGGGGGGGTGTGGCTGGGGGTGTGGTATTGAACGTCGACGGGAGGGGTGGGGGTGGGCGCTAATGGAGCACTCGCGTGGAACTCGCGCCAGAAGTTGTGGCACAATTCCGTTGTACACACCGACGTTAACAGCAGCCCCGTCTGTGCGCACGGCGACTGGCTCTGTCGTCCAGTGATCGAAGCGCCTTCTGGAAAATGCTTCACAAGTCCGCCGGTACGCAAATGCGCTTAGTGAGACAAGTGACGGTACGCATTTCAGATGTGTGCCGCGCATGCGTACCTGCGTACCAGTTATGTGCACCCCTGGTTATAATCCATGTTATCCTGAATGAAAAATCCCCTTGAACAATGATGTCAACTGAAATTAAAAGTGTGATTGTTGTGTAAATGGGATTCATCAACATATACATCTGTGTCTTTTTGCTCACATAAATCAAACCAAATGTCTTTCCATAATCCATTCCATAATGATTGATATCAATCCAAAGTTATTTTTGTTTTTGATTTGCACTCACCACTGATCATTACAAAGTCTCTCCTCATGTTCACCTTTCCCTTACCAAGCTGTGATAGAGTAGGAGTTGTTCTATAAATCAGAACATTAAAGAAATACAGGAAAGAACAGTTTGTGAAGCAGGATACATTATCCCATTATGATAAACAAGAGAAAAAGGCAGCGACATTTTCAAAATGTCATTTTGGAAATGTTCCGCTGACCTCAGACCATAATTCACTTTCCCCACACTTGGCAGCACAGACACTTTATTCTCAGGCCAATTAAAAACAATTGGGTGGTGTTAGTCACTGAAGAGAATCTCCAGAAATAAATGTTGTCTTTCACAAAAGTACCTTGTGGACAGTAATTCAGACTGTCAGGAAGTGAAGCTGAACACAGCAGCGCAAGTTAGGGATTCATCTGTGTGTCATAGCTGCCTGCATTAATTTGTTCGATGAAACATCCATTTTAATTACATTTCACTGATGACTGTGGGAAACCTAACATGACTCTTGAGACGTTCTGGTTTCTTTATATAGACAAAACACATTCCTTTCTGTCTCCTCTCTGACCGTGACTGTTTTATTGCACACCTACATCCAACATTACGTTTCAGCTGTGAAATCATAGAAACAGAGAGGAGAAAAACAACATTCAGGCAGGCCGTTTTGTCAATAAAAGAGGGTGAAAACACAGAGTGGAGGTCCAAAACATCCAATGTGCACCTGCACTATTCACAGCTCCAAAAGGTCTTGGAATTTGAAGCAAAAAACTTCACTGCCCAGAAAACCTTAACTAGGTTTTTTAGTGAAATGCAAACAACACAGTGATGTTTACCTTGCCAACTGGGAGGCGTGTGATGCAGTGGGTTGTGCGTTGGTGTTCGGAACAGGGGGTCATAGGTTCAAACCCCACTGCAGTCAGCATGTTGTTGTGTCCCTGGGCAAGACAAATTGCTCCTGTGGGGATTGCCCACAGTATTGAGTATGTAAGTCGCTTTGGATAAAAGCGTCTAACAAGTGACATGTAATGTAATGTAAAGTCCTGCTAACATTGGTGGATCACCACTGGATATATATTCAAACTATAGCCTAATTGCTACCCAGCATTTAAAAAGGGCAACATATTTGTTTGTATGGGACATACATTCAGTTTTAGCACCAATGCCAACACGTTGATGTGACTTGATGACCAAGATACATCAAAGAACAGTTTGTCAAGCAAAGGCAGGCTAGCTAGCAGGTTTGTTAGTGCGGAAAGCTATGAACGACTAATGCAAGTTTCTTTTCGGCTGTTAACAGATTATTATTCCTTTTCAATCAGGAGAGACACTGGTGGTGGTGGAGCATGAAGGGATAGTTGGAGGTCAGTCTGAAGAGGAGTGGTTTAGCTTGACCCTGGATTTGGAGGGACATGAGGTGAAAGGGGTGGAGGAGGGCTGCGTTGAGTCACCTGAAATGACTGCTGTCAGGAGGGGAGAGAGCAGATTTAAAGGTTTAGCAATGCACTAGGCTTGTGGGAATAGAGGCGAAGTGACGCCCCCGATCACTGATTGAGAGGAGAGAGTAGTAAGATGGGAAAATGTGAATGAATGAGTAAAGACTGTCTTCCTGGTTGAACTTCTGCTAAGCTTAATTTGTCTGGTACACTTTTGAAGACTGGCCATTGAAGTACGTAATCAAGGGGTCTGGTCACATTGGGTATAGGTATTCAATGATCTTTGTAGGACATGTGTTAAAAATGCCAAATATCCTGTCTTTTACAGTACCCCAGTAAGTTGAAAGTGAGCCACTTGGTTCTTGTTGTCTTCGATGACATGTCCTACTCTTGCGAGAAGGACATGTCAGAGTCTTGTTTTATCTCTGTCTCTTTCTTTGACTGCATCTTGGAGAGTTCAGACACACCCTTGGTCTGCTTTATTCTTTCTAAGCTAGCAAACCCAATACTACACCTCCATGGATAACAGGAACTGGTTTCCTCCTTATTCATGTATTTTGACTGCAAGAATGCACAAAACCGAACTAGACAGTTACAGAAGAGAACAACATGTATTTATAATTATTGTAATAGTTATATCTGTTTCTGTATGAGCTTGGTATATGACAGTAAAAAGATTTCCTTCCTAATAAACACACTTGGATGCACTCACCACTTGAAAATGTCAGTGCTTCCAGCTACATGTTAGTATTCTCTGAACCCAGCTGCATAAGAATGAGGCTGCCTAAGCGTGCAATTAGATCCGCTCCATGCAGTTTTGAGTAGCTGTTGTTGGTGTTTCCAGTCAACAATTTTGTCATAAAATATGCACAGGCAGAGCTATTGTGTTCCTCAGCGGACAACTTCTGAGGAGGAGGCAAATAAGATAATGACTATTTCCTTTTTTGCCTCTCTTCACTCCATATGTCAGCACATTTAATGGACTCTAGTGTAACTTCTAAAGCAACTGAAAGTACCAAAGATGCCAAATGGCAGAAAGCAATGGCAAAAGGAGTGAAGATTTAAGCCTCAAGCATGCAGGCCCAGTCAGTATTTCATGATTATTATTTCTGAGCAGGTGTACAATGTATCCCTAATTAGATGTGGACCATGATAATGATGTATATTAGTAGATAAAGTTAATGTATTGTTTGAGTTATTGTCCTTCTGCATACATGACAAAGGTTACTTTAAGCTCCATAGGGACAGGATTTATTTCTCTGGGCTAGGTAGGGTGATTTTAACATGCTCTATGCTGGTCAGTGATTTTTAATATGTGGGTAATAATTCAGCCCTACGCCAGTGACAATTACAGCTGCAATTACAACCATTGTTATATGAACTCACTGATCCTGTCCATATTTTAGTTGATTTCTTTGCATGTGAAAAGCTGCCTTTTTTTTGTTGTGGCATATGAGGGATGTAAGCATTCTGACACCA